TTGAAATCAAAATCGATTCACAAATTTAACTTTGACGATGTGAAATTGTACAAGGGACCGATAAATAATGTTCCTCCTCGTAAAGTTAACGCGAAATATAGGATCTAACCGAGAGAGGTAGGCGGGGACCACAAGGCAAAAAGGGAAAATATTATAAAGTTGTGGAGGCGTTAACGCGGCTAACGGATTTCGCTGCACGTATAGCACGTAAGTCTATAGCTGTAATATATACGCTGGGATGAGATGCGCGTCGCTGCTTTGCGTTATATTTACCGTCGGCCGATGTTACTGTAATACGTCGTCTATATATAGTTAGACGACATTGGAGTAAAGCGAGCAGCTATCGGTGGAGGACTTACTGAAAGTTTACTTTGTCGACTTGAAACCGTGTTTCGAAGATACCGGACGTGAGGACTCGACACCTGAGGATGTCCTGGAACAGATCGATAAAATTTATCATTCATACTTCATAACGCTTTCACGTGAGAAGCTCGTGCCGATCATTACCTGTTCTGTGGGGGTGTAATCCGGTTGTTTAACAATGGCTACCTTATCTAGAAAACTGGAACAGAGAACAAAAGATACGATTACACATTTCGTGTATCAAGACTTCGTGGAAATTGTAAATTTTTTTACCAGTCGATAATATAATGAGCTACGCCATAATCCAATATATATATGTGATTATTTCTGATCAACGTTGACCATCCCCGATAACGATCGTCACCAATCAACCGCATTGTTATCGTGTGAGTCACTTCACACATTTACGGATATCATTTCACTGTGTTCGTGGTTGTTCACTTTTTCTTTTTTAAAACGCTGAGCAAGGGAAGATGGATCCGTATTTCGAAACACCGATCATTGAAAAATAAAATTAATCGCTCGGAAAAACATTAAAATTTCTAAACGTTTTCAAACTTCACTTCGATCAAGTGAAGAAAATTTTTTATTTATTCGATTCGGATGGAAGCCGCAGAACTTCGAATCGAAACGGATATTATCGAAAATGATATATACGACATGTAATAAATAACAGAAATTGGAAGAGGAGAACGAGAAAATACGCGAAAAGAGATTCTCATATTTCCCACCCTTTTTCTCTTCCTAATACTTTCTCGTTATTTTTTCCTCTTCCTCTATCCACGTCCCTTGCCTCTCCTTCCTCCCTCTCTTCTTCTCTCTTTTATATTCTCTCTGTTTCTCTCAAAAGACCCTCCCCGGCTGGTGTCTAGGGTGGATGAGAGCGCACGAAGGGGGAAAATCGATCCTCGGTGGTGTCCTATCCTAACCCCAACTCTCGCCCTCTCGGCCTCGCCGGGTATGCCTCTCTAGCACCCAGTTTCCAATCCGGGTCATGGGTCACTGCCACCGCTGCTCGCCATCAATCGTACGTGCAGACTTAGCTTCATGCATGTATACCGGCGCTCTGGTACTGGTATATATACATACATACATACATATATATATATATATGTATATATATATATACACGCAAGAGCCTACAAGGGTGGATCTTCGCTTTGACACCATCATGCAACCTTCCACAGTCGGTTGACGGTGATAATATATTTACTGACAGACACCACCACTGCTCCCCGGCACGGATATTAAATAGCCGTAGAGAGCCGAGAGAGTTTTAGTTTTTCATTCGGAGTATATTACGGAACTTTGAACGAGGAATATTATCGCAACGTTACAAATTCGAGAAATTTGAAAATTATTTACCTACCATCTCCGGAATGCTATCCACTCGTTCGTTATATAGAAGAGGATATATACGAGTTAAAAAAGAGTACGAAGGAAGTGGAACGAGGTATATACAGGCACAGGAGAAATGTTGTAACGGCAATTAATACAGCGTTCAATGACCTCAACAGGCGTAAGTAACCAGAAACTTGGCTCCTCGAGTAAATTTGAGGAAGCAGAAATCGGCGAAATTGATTTTCGGCAAGTGGCTGCATAGGAGAGGGAACGGGGGTAGGAGAGAGGGTAGGCATGTGTAGGCTCGTGAGAAAGGTAGGTCACGAAATTGGCGCGCTCGCACTGAAATGAGGTTATCGACCTCGGGAGAATTGAAAGAGGAAGGAGGTCGTGACCCACTGGCTACTGGCAGAACGATTTTCTGGTTACCAAAGCGGTGTAACTTCACCGACCTTGAGGTCAATTGTAACAATGTTATTTCGACAACGATAAGACACGATGTAGGCGCCTGCTCTTTACGCCATTGTCAAACTCTCTCAAAATCATCGATTCAACTGTCAAGATTATTTTATCGGGAAATTGCGAGAAATAAAATTAAATATATTCATATGTTCAATTATATCTGGCTGTTGTAATTTTCTGTAGGAATTTTTTAATGTAAACAATATGTAAAATAAGTCAAATAAAGTATGCTAGTTTCATTAAGATAAATTACAGCGAATTTTAAACGAGGTTAAAATAATCACAAAACAATGCTATGCTAAATAAATAACGAAACAGACCAAATCGAATCCTGTTGAACATCCTGTAAGTATATTCTCCATTCGAAGCTTTCTAACATTCTAACTACCTTTCGTTCGAACGATCGTTGGCTCGAATCGTAAATATTTAAGAAACGATTCCAATTACTCCACGATCACGAGTATCTCAATTTACATCACGTTTTCATTGTTTCTTGCCTTGATGTAAATGTGCAAAGATTCGAAATCACGCTCGAAATTCACGAAAATTAATCTTATATATAAAGAAAAAAAAATATAGTAGCGATTTGTATATATAATAAAAAAAAAAAAACATCAAAGAAGTGATCTCATCGATCTTTTTACGATCTGTATTTGAGGCATCGAAAGTTATTCACGAGAATATAAAATATACTAGTTTTTATCTAACGTGACGATGCCACGGAAGAAAATTGTTATCGACCTAAACATTCATGAACTATGTGTGGCAACATCAGTGATCCCAGCATATAGACCAGCGTCTATATATAGAGACACGTGTTTCCTTTTTTAAGGTGTGCCGAGGTATTCCATCGTGTAATTGGCACGTTACTCGATTCTCCCCGTGTATAGCGTTTTCTTCTCTCTCCCTCTCCCTCCTCCCTCCTCCTCCTCTCTCTCTCCTTTTTTCCTCTCTCCTACATTTTTCTTTCTTTCTTTCTTTCTTTCTATCTTTTTCTCTCGATTTTTCTTTTTATCTTCTTCAATACGAAAGAAAAATTTGATATCGAATTAGATAGCATCGAATTAAATTTTCAAAGCGAATCGAAAGAAAAGATATACAACGTAACACGTCAATGTTCTTTATCTGTGAATTTTATTAAAAATCTGATTAATTATTCCAGTCAGAAATGATTGATCAAACCGACAATCGATAATCAATCAATCGATAATCAGTCGTTGTTGCATAGCAATCTCTTATTCTCCATCGTGCATCGATATAAATTCGATGATATTTCTCGTTTTCTAAGTATACCCGAGTATATATTCCAAATTGTTTAATTCTCTTTGTTAAGGGAAACAG